CTCCCCACTTCCAGGTGCATTGTAATATATCCCCCCCACTTCCAGGTGCATTGTAATATATCCCCCCCACTTCCAGGTGTCATTGTAACTAGATAATCAATATTATTCACTTCACCTGACAGTGGTCACAATGTAATGGCTGATCGGTGTACATGGAACAGCCAGGCAGTTGACCTCTCCAGGATCTACCAAAAACTGAAATATCAGTAGTGGGCGGACTGACCCTTAAAAAATGTCACACTTACTCATTGCCGATGTTTATCTCTAAGGCATCCAGATCCCGAAATATTTCACTGAATCGTTTGCGGCCTTCCGAGGATCCGCTGTGCGCATTGACATCTACAAGAGAAAGATCGCAGTCTAGTTATAACAGGTGGATTATGGTAGTCGCTCCCTACTCTCCCGAGATACTACAGCAGACGGCCATTTGTTTCTGGATTCAAGAAACACTTTGTAGGGATCTGCTCATTTTGCAGATATTGTATATTTTTGTTATCTGCAGGGAGGAGTTCGGTTGCCACCAGCCTAAAGGTCCCCACACACCTTACAATAATCGTACGATAATGGCGGGAAATCCTGCGATCGTACGATGATCGTAAGGTGTGTGGAAGCCGTGCGACCTCTACTACTGTAAGGTCGCATGACTTTAAACTTACGGACATGTTCGAAAACCCGCCGAGCATCGTACGATGTTCGGCGGGTTTGTGGCATGTCCGTACGATAACAGCCGCACGGGCCGGTGTGCGCAAGCGCACACTGCCCGTTCGGCATTGCGGTCATCGGAAGCCCGCCCCTCAGGGGGCGTGGCTTGCGATCATTGCAAGTACGATCTGCCTATGCAACATAGGCAGATCGTACGTTTTTCAGGGAATGCAAAACAGCAAAACGGCATAGGAATGCATAGCTAGATTCCTATTGGCTATTTCACTTTGCATTAGCCAATAGCAAACTAGCTATTGCACCCGCCCACTGCTGCTGTCAACCACTAGAAGAGGACTTGATGGAGAACTTCAGGTCCCCCTCTGCTGATTGATAGCAGCAGTGGGCGGGTGCAATAGCTAGTTTGCTATTGGCTAGTGCAGAGTGAAATAGCCAATAGGAATCTAGCTAAGCATTCCTATGCTGGTTTTTTATTATTATTGGCTGTCAGAATACTAAAAAAAACAACCTGCAGATAGCAAAGAAGCTATTGCTTCCTGTGTTATCTGCAATCATTTCAGGGGGGTGCTCACTCCCAGCCCCCCCCCCCCCTCTGCGGATGGGGGGAGAGGGCATCTCTCTGAAATGAGAGGGACAAACGTACTATGGGGAAAAGCCCTGACCCCATAGTTCTCCTTTAATATGTTAAAGCCAAACTGAACTTCCAGCGAAATACGTTCGGGGTGCATCCAAACAAAAGGTGTTCAATGCCTTACAATTCATTTTCTTTCTAAAGCAGACACAGCCCGGGAAGGAAAGTCTGTCCCTTGCTCTCTGCGGGGAAGCAGTCGTAGTGACGCCGGCAGAGAGAGGAGGGGACAGTCACCCGGCGGGATAAGGTATGGCTCAGAAACCTAAATCTTATTTTATTCTATTGTGGTTCACATCAGCTTTCCACCCATTGCAGCTAATATAAATATGACCGTAGACATGCGTATCATCTGCAGAGAATTCTCTTCTTAGGTCTTCTCCGTCTATAATTGGGTCGTAGAGATTCTCCTCTGGTCCGGATATTGTTCAGCGGGGTGGAAGACGCATCTGATTGAGGGCTGCAAGGGTTCCTTTATATGGGAACCCAACACTAGCCACCAGGCTTGACCTCTCAGAGTATCAGGATACAGGGGGTGCTGCTACTCCACAGGGACAACGGGCAAGGCACGGGTTCCCCTCCAGCCTGGTAGAACCCCTGGTGCCCGGGTTGTAGGTGCGCATGCGCGGGTCGAGCGGCGGACGCGCGTGCGCAGTACTCAGGTTCCGCGCGCAGTTCCGGAAGCCCGCGCGTAGCGTGCCTGCGCCATTCAGGCTAGCAGGTGTGGGCCTCGCTGGGGGAGGTTCCCGGCACACACCTTCCATCACTCTCGCCTGCCATTGGTTCCCGGGGAGGGAAGCCTCCTGGTTGCTCGGTGACCAGGGGGCGGTCTTACATCCCCTGGCTATAAAAACCTGGCCAGAGCTCTGGCTTGTTGCTGAGTTATTCCACCCTATGGTGTGATCACCAGTGCCCTGCGCCTTGCCCGTTGTCCCCGTGGCAACACCCCCCTGTATCCTGACACAGAGATGGTCATTCCATTACCATCTGCAAACCTGTTGCAGATCGGGCCCCTGACCACAGGAGAAGTCTTGGGCAAGGGGCCAAACATGACTGGAAACCTATAAAAGCGAAGGATAAAGGTCCTCAGAATGACTGAGAAGAACCCCCGAGGCCTCCATAGCGCCTGGTGATAGGGTTGCCACCCGTCCAGGATTCACCCGGACAGTTCGGGTTTTGAATGCTGGGTCCGGGTTTCATGGCAGCAGAAACCCGGACACAAGATGTCAGGCAGACAGGGGCAACCAAAATTAAGATTGGGGCTACTGGCCCCCCACTGAAAATAGTCTCAACGTTGATATATACACATGAATGGGCGGCGCTATTTACGTATGAAGAAGCCGCGACTCAATCTCCCCCAAAAATCTCCGTGCGTCGAAACTGGTCAATAATATAGAAAGAGGAACGCAGGTCTGACGTTGCCCGTCCTGTGCGCACATGACAGGCCGCGCTAGATTTGTTTTCCTGTCCCGGCTGTAGACTGGCAGACGTCTCCGAGGGATAAGACACCCACACATCTCCGCTGAGATATTATGTGATTGTGGGTAATCCCCGGCCTGCAATATATAGCTCCTTCCCCTTTTTCTCCTCTAAATATACCTAACACACCGATACCGCCCTGAAAGTGAAGAAAAAATATATATTTCCAGCTTTAATATTAATATTATTATAATCATAAAATAATAGAATTATAATAATAATAATTTATTTATATTGCTTAACCATTTCAGTCTTCAGACCTTTATACCCTTTTTGCAATTTTGTACATTTCAACCATGGGCCTGTTAATTCGGCGGTAACTTTGCTATTACTTAAAGGAGAACTATGGGGGTTAAGGCTTTTCCCCATAGTTCTCCTCAGGGTAACGGGAGGACACAAACTAGCGTCCCCCCGTCACCCTAAGCTCAGTATATAGGGAGCTCCAGCTCCCTATATACTGAGACGCCGCAGCTGAAGCGGATCACGACAATTGTGCCGGGATCCGCCCAGCTGCGTGAGTGACAGCTGGCTCTGCCTATCTAGAGGCAGAGCCAGCTGTACCCGCCCCCTCCCCCGTCCGTTCCGCGAGTCAGTGCTGGCGGATCGGAGCGGGGAGGGGGGAATCCAGCCCCTCCCCCGTCACGGCAGAGAGCCTTGACAGGATCGAGAGGTGAGCGAACGCCGGTATGTGTTCCCTCACCTCCCGATCTACTGAGCCGACCTGTGACAGTCTCATTGTCACAGGTCGGCTAGAACTATGAGGTGAGTGAAAAGCCCCTCCCCCTCATAGTTCTCCTTTAAGATAACAACTTAATATTATTATTATACAGGATTTATATAGCGCAGCACTTAATACATTGTACGTTGTTTTTATGAGGACAAACTATCTTTTGGCAGTATTGTCTCGCAGAAATTATTTTATTTCATATGCAATCTATAGACAAAAATATCTAGAATAAAAACAAAAAACAAAAACAATTAGGTTTTTTTTCTCTATTCCGACCGACATTCGCATGAAAATAAGCAGCGTTACCGGGAATAAAAATGATGCATTTCATTCTATAATTTATCTTGTTTAAAATAAGAATATAAATTATGTTTCTGGTACAAAGCACGGGAAGGTTGTTTGCAAATTTAAAAAAAAGGGGCTTTTTTTCGTACAATTGTACGTTTTTTGGGGGGAAAAATACGACAAAAGTAGAAATAAACTAAAAATGAGTAGAAATAAAATAGAGAAGGGGAGGAAGGAGTTAATTAAGGTTGATTAGGGTTAAGTAAAACCTGCCATATAGTGCTCAAATGTTGTCTGACTGAATTAAAGGAGAACTATGAGGAGAGTGATTTTCACTCACCTCATAGTTCGAGCCGAGGTGTTAAGGCGGCCATACACTTTACAACCATCGCAAGACCTTAGTCTTGCGATGGTTGTAAAGTAATTAAAAAAACGTACGATCTGCCCATCTTGGACAGGCAGATCGTACTCTCTATCATCGCAAGCCGCGCCCCTCTGAGGGGCGGGCTTCCGATGACTGCAATGCTGAACGGGCAGTGTGTACGTGCGCACACTGGCCCGTTCGGCATTTGTCTCCCGAGCACCGTTCCAACCAGCCGAGAATCGTACGATTTGCGGCTGGTTTTCTAGCGTGCTCCTTAGACAAAAGACGTGCGACCGTACAGTAGAAACGGTCGCACGTCTCCGTTCACACTGCTTGATTCTCGTACGTTCGCGGCATTTCCCGCCATTCTCGTACGAGAATCGAGCAGTGTATGGGCACCTTTACAATGAAACTGTCACAGGTCGGCTCAATAGATCGGGAAGTGAGTGAACACATACCGGCGCTCGCTCACTTCTCGATCATCTCCCTGCAGAGAGCCGAGACTGTCACTCACGGATCCCTGCAGGGATTCCCCCCTCCGATCCTCCAGCGCTGACTGGCGGAACGGACGGGGGAGGGGGCGGGTACAGCTGGCTCTGCTTCTAGATAGGCAGAGCCAGCTGTCAGTCACGCAGCTGGGCGGATCCAGACAGTAATGTGGGGATCCGTCCCGGCTGCGGCGTCTCTCAGTATACGGCGAGCAGCAGCTCCCTATATACTGAGCCTAGGGTGACGGGAGGACGCTAGTTTGTGTCCTCCCGTGACCCTGAGGAGAACTATGGGGAAAACATTGACCCCATAGTTCTCCTTTAACAGAAAGTGTTTTTTTACTTTTGCTGATGTCATGTACAATGTCACACTTTATGATCTACATATGAATAACAATAGTACAATGAAACGATAAATTGTTACATTGTATTTACTGAATGACACGGGAAGACTTTCTGCAAGTGTCGTATTACACTGGCTGAGCCTTGGCAGCCGCTCCTGCTGTGTACAGCAATACATGAAAATGCCCGAGCTGCCATTCTGACAGCCGGGAACTTCTGGTATTAACGACGGTGGGAGCGACAGTAGGGGGAGAGGAGCGGGACATAGTAGGTATGTCTTAGAGACTTTTGTAGGGCGTATCTCCTATGTCTGAGGTCCTCAGGTGATGGAACATTCTGTATTATTAACATTTCCTCTTTACAAAA